GGAATGCTTATTAACTGCATATAGAAAGCAAAACTATAGGAATTAGATTAAGCAATTTAGAGAAACAAATATAAAGGGGTTTAGATTTTAGTTGTAAAGTGGCCGTGTAATTAACTTTGGGTCGTATAAAATTGATTACTGGAACTATATAAACGAAACGATCTGTTTGGTGCTTTGGTCTGTGTATAAACAGTATCGATACCCCTGGCACCGTTTGGATATTATTAAATCGTCTATGTTTAATGAAAGTTTGGCTTAAGTAAATCATGGTCAAAATATGATCTGCGTCCTCTTATTCCTTCACAGCCATATCCCACATAAATCAATATTAATTGACGAAATGGTGTCCCTGAGTCAAGGCGATAGACTATCGATGACGGATCCGTTCTGCTCACATGAAAAATGATCTTTTGATAGACTCGCTTTTAAGAAGGTGGAACATCACTCAAGTTGTCTATGAAAAGAATCAAATTTTCGATCCAGTCCAATATAAATATCTACTTAGCCTGATAGATTGATGGATGTTAAACATGTTATATCCAGATGTATATGATATGCTTCCCTGGGTTAAATCTATCGCTTAATCAACATGGTCAGATTTTATATAATAAAGTTTGTAAAACTTCTAAATATTTAAGGACAATCCGCCCTGTCTACTATTGTATTTCAAGGTTAATATCTTTTTTTAATTACTCAATGCGGGATTGTCTTCCGGGTTTTATTTCTACTTATGCGTGGTGTGGTTTTAACATTAATTAACTGATTCAAATCGTTTTTGGACACCTTAATTTGCTCTGATCTAATACGCCTTAATGAGCTTAAAGGTTTTCTAAAAAAGCAACACTACCCGGCAAAGCTAGTAGATGATGCCATCCGAAAAGCTTTAAGTTTAGATCAGAGCAAATTAAGGTGTCCAAAAACGATTTGTGAAACAAAGAGTCACGAAGAAGTTGCTTTAGTAACTACTTTCAACCCATCACAAGAAGATGGTAAATCTATAATTAATAATAATCTCCATATTCTTAAAAATAGCCCGATTATGGATGATATATTAAATAAGGCAAAAATAATAAATAGTTTAAAGCAACCTCAAAGCCTGGCTAAATTACTAATCTCATCAAAATTCGAATCAACTAAAATCATACCCACAGTTAACAAGTGTAATGAATCCAAATGTAAAACGTGTTCAATCATAATTGAAGGTTCATCCATAAATATCACGGACAATTTTACATTTCATGTAAAACAACCAATGTCTTGTAAATCCGATTACATTATATATGTAATAATTTGTCCGGGCTGTAAGGGTAGATATATCGGAAAGACCATAAATATGCTTAGATTAAGAATGAACCTCCATCGACAACATATTCATAATCCGCTATACAGGATGATACCCCTGAGCCGACACCTCGATGTTTGTGGCAAATGCAATTTTAATGTCTTTCCGTTATATCAATTAAACAGCAAAGACAACGATCTATTAGAAGCAAAGGAATCATATTTTATTGAAAAATTCAAACCATTGCTTAATTCAAGGTGTTGATTTTTGTTATATTAACATTGTAGTTGTGTAAAATATAAATGTTTAATTAATAATCTTGTTAATGATACATAATGTATGCAATATTATCTTATCGTGCTTATTATAGCCATTATAGTTCATTGTTGTACTCGCAAAAACCTAGTTTTTTTTCCTAAAACATCTTTATTTCTATATATATATATATATATATATATATATATATATATATATGTGCTGAATCAGTTATTTAATATATATATATATAATAAGCAGCAAAAGACACGTCAGGTTGGTATGTTACTCTGAAAAGACGCATTGCATAAAACTTGTCAAATGTTTTTATTGTATATTTGTGACCGCATCTCCAACTTTACCTGAGCAATAAGACTCCTTCCCAAACACATAATTGAACCCAGGAAATGTTCTCAAAAACGCAACCTGACTTCTGAGATGGTAATGTGTTCTCCATGATTTTCATGTAATTCATTTGCACGTGCTGTCCACTGGGACCAGCCCTATAAAATGCACCCCCATACCTGGTTGAATCATTCACACTACAACGCCAGCAGCATGCCATGACTCACGATAGCTCAGAGGAACCAGGCGCTTGAAAAACTCGGCGCTGGCTACACTGCCCAAGCCGTTGTCAATTACTTCCCGGTCAATGTTCGGACCATCTACAGGCTTCAGCAACGCTTTCGGGCCACCAACACCACGGATGATCGCCCCCGAACTGGTAGACAAAGGGTTACCACAAGACGACAAGACCGCCATGTTGTGCGACAGCACGTGCAGAATCCCTTCACACAGGCATCTGAGACAGCACGTTAGACAGTGGTAACACACGGAAGACCATCAGTACCGATACAATGGGCCGACGTCTCACCAGAGAGAACATCCATTGCCGTATACCTTACCGTGGACCGATCCTCACTCCTCGCCATCGACGTGAACATCTAGAGTTTGCCAAACAACACCAGAACTGGCGACAATAGAGAACTGCAGTATGGCAGGACCAGAATGTGGCGTCGACGTGGCCAGCGTTATTCTGACCAATGCGCCATGGAACGAGACTCAAGTGGAGGTCCAAGCATAATGGTTTGGGGGTGGAATCGGTCTGAACCAGAAAGTGGGTCCTGTGGTGTTCTAAAATCTTGGTCCAGGGATAGGAGACGGCATCACAGCAGCGGGCTACATCGATCAAGCTCTCGGACCCCACGTCATACCACATTTCGCACGGCATCGAAACAACGTTTTCCAGCATGGCAATACCCGTTTCCGCACCGCCAGAGTTACTCGGAACTTTCTACAGCAGAACTTTGTCAACGTTATGCACTGGTCCGGACTTAAACCCGATTGAACGTAAAATGAAATGAAATGGAGTTTAACGTCCTACTGTTCTGCTCCGATTGAACGTCTTTGGGATGAAATTAATAACGTTGTACCGAGACCAAACACAGCCGATGGATTGGGTCAGGCTTTTCTGAGAGTGTGGTTCCAGGTGCCAATGGCGTTCATCAATCGTTATTAACACTCGCGGTGGACACACCAGACACTGATGTATAGACTGTGTACAGACGCTAAACCTTCTCGCAATGTCTTGGAATTGTGATGAACTAATCACTAATGTGTCAACATATTGTTCACAAAAAATTGCTTTGATCCATTTATTAATCCTTTTTAAAGAATGATTTGATTAAAGTGCCCCTGTGATTTTAAAATCGTACTGAGGTTTTTCTTTGCTGTTTAGTATATATATATATATATATATATATATATATATATATATATATATATATATATATATACATGTATATATCAGTAAAGCATTGCTCGGTATAAATATAAGTAATCGACCAGCTATCAAGAAAAAAATGGCCAATGTATGCAGTATTCAGATTCAATGGATATATAGAATCATAAATGTTTTAATCAACATATTATTGCATGTACGTCATTTTGTAGCCCAAATTGAAATACATAAATGCACAGCGAAAATACATTTTCGTGACTGCATATGTTTTGTCATCATGCTTCGAAGGGGTAATTTATTGATGACAAGTAAATGGAGAACAAGAATATAAAGTTATTATGAATAATTATTCAAATAACGACTGTAATCAGAATATCTGGTAATGATTAAATCGTGATTATTAACATATCAATGATGATTGTTTTTCAGAAAATGAACAAATGTTTCGTGAGCAGTTGTCCTGTCAAATAATTGAAGTCTTTGAGCGACGTCCTCATCATCACATTTTAACTCCCGCGTGCTAAATTAGATATTAATATCATTCTTTACATTAAACTGGTACATACGTTTTTAATTATATTTGTGGGAAAGTATATCTAGCCCTTCGGGTGAGACGAAGACTTGAGGTTATATGTTAGCACCGCATAGATAACCGTAAAAAATAAACAAATTATCGTACATTGTCTCAAAATGAACGAACTTGTGAACTTTTCAGCGACTCTCTGCCATTATCAATGAAGATTGTATATGTTATCTAGCCTATATCAACGTCTGTGTTGTCACAATCAAACGTAGACGACATGATAGACCCGTAATGTACTGATGAAAGATGAAATTTGCCATTTTGATTTACCCAAGTTAGATTTGCTTTAGTAATTCTCACAACTAGATATGCTTAAAAACTTTTAAAATAAAACCACTCAATGTGATTCGAACATAGTCCTGTGCAACGTTTTTCCGATTAGTCATTTTAATGCTAAATCACCATTTTGATATTTTAAATCATGTCCTCATATATGTCAGACTAATATCTAACGATGTAAGAACTGTCAATCATACAAAAAATTTAAATCAATGATTTTAATTTACACTTAATATTGCAAACGCCCACCACCTTTGTAATACAGCTTTAAGAACAACATCAATAAAGTTTTTTTTTATGTTGCAAAATGAAACATTTCCACTTATGTTTCCTATAAACTTTAAATCTATAAAATTACATTTAGCATTGCGAAATAAAAGATTGTGTCAGAACCGTTTAATGTGGGAGTATTTTTGTTTGTATTTCTTTAAGTGCTCTTTATGGTCAAAAGTTTTTGTGTTACAGTTTCAAGTGCAGACGATCCAATGAGTCTTTAACAAGATATGTGGTATTTCTAACTGAGTTAATTACTATTCTTAGCTAAAAACAGGGTCTTTCAGTGAAACCTATTTAATAAACTAATTAGTAAATTTTAATACAAAATTTCCATCATGTATGCCCGGACTTTTCTTTAAAACTGTTTGCTTTTCAAATTATCGAAATGAAGACTAACAAATCGATGAAGTTCTGTATGAGACAAACATTACACGTATAATTAAGAAAACTAATTACAATCTGTAAAATGTTTTAATTGCCAACTGACGTATCCTTCTTTGATGACTTAACGTCGGTGATCTTGTCATCATTAAGCTCCCATAATTTACAAAGAGGATATAATAAGAATGCAAACAGTATCTTACCGTAAAGTGTGTTGAAAACAGCGAGAATTTTTCTCTTTTGGAATTCTGATAGTGAACCCATTTTAATCTGAAACAGAAATAATATTATTTATAAATAGTAGAAAAATGAAAATGATATTGGAAGAGAATCAATTCATTATTATATCTTGGTAGATCAACGGCTTAAGGAGCTAAGGAAACAATAAAGCAAAGAAAATATATTAATTGGAAGAATCAGAGCTATGTTCCAGTCCAAGGTTCATACTTCTAATAATATTTCAATGCAAATATAAATATTTTGCAAAATTTCGAAAGTTTTCTGAAGTTCTAGAACAATTATTCATTTATAAAATTACAATAAACATGAGTTGAAATTAAATTTAAAAGATTAAACCGAAAATATTCACATTAGATTCATAAAATGCCATGGCTTTGATGTTTGCGGATATAAATCGAATGTTTCACAGTCGTATAAATATGGAAGCATGAAATCAATAGAATTTTGAATGACCACAACTTGCGTCCAAATTCATGGATGTTTAAAATAACGTTTTGCTACATTGAATCTGGTTTAACTCCATTTATTAATGAACGAAAGCGACACCTCTCTCGCAATTCAAGACTCATGTTGTGAAAGTTAATCTTATTCGATACATACCGAATAATAACCATCTGTGAAATGATTTAATCAAAGATATTTAATCAAAGATATTCGGTAAGGGGGGTTGGATGGCTGAATGGTTAGCGTGCGCGCGCTGTATCATAAAGTCTGTCACTGAGTCGTGGGTTTCCTCCCACTGCTAAAGACCCCTACGCGCATGCGAATTATTGAAATAAAATTAAACCATATGTTAGTCCCGAAATGACCTAGTTTGTGTCGAGTGGACGTTAAACCCCATCTCTCTCTCTCTCTCTCTCTCTCTCTCTCTCTCTCTCTCTCTCTCTCTCTCTCTCTTAACTTCGGTAAATGTTCTTCTAGATTGCTCAGCTTATGGCAGTACATACGGAAACATATATATAATCCCAACAGACTACAATGGAAACTGACTTAATTTTCTGTAAGGCTACAAACTATTATTTCGTCATCCATGTGGAAATAGATCCTTTTATTTAGTTATTTTTGTCACAACGTTTTATATTTCCTTTTTAAATAGTTCTTTTTGTCACACGGATGATTGTAATGTTGATGAATTTAGCTCTTGTTACTTGCTGTTAGACAAATTGTCTATATAATCTGTGTTTAGAATAAGCTAGGTACCAATATAGATGATTGATCAAATGTAATCGATCTCTACCTGTTCGAGTTCTTTTATATTTGAAATTTAAAATAATCTATCGTGCAATGTTTTTTTTTATTCAAGCTTAGCAGAAGAGAGCCTCGGGACATTTTCTTCCTATAAAAGTTGTATGAAACCCGTAAACAGTTCCTAAAAGCACCTGCCGTCCAAATCCAATGCATGTAGCAACAGCTTCTATCGGGGGGGGGGGGGGGGTAACCTCTTGGAAACGATCATCCATATCGACTAAGCCGTATAGACAATACAATAAAAGTACAAACACTGACATTACCGCCAATCATAACTATATATGTAGCCATGACAGTTTACACACAATGGCGTAGTAGCGTCTTTAAGTTTGTATCCACCCCCACACACAACTGAACAGAAAATTACGAGATGTGGCAGGAGCTTTCTATCTTGCTGGTCCCGACAATGCAGTGCCCGCCCCCTTCCCCGCCATACGACTTTGATTACAAATGGAAATATTTATAAACAAATGACCAGATTGACTTGGAATACAGCAGTAGAGAATAAAATGTGCCGACATAAACAAGCCCAGATAATATTGTGTCATTAATACATACATGTAGCCTCGCGGCTAATAAAGTCTTTGAACAGAGTATAATTTTCAAAGCCTGTAAACAGGTATTTTAGAAGATCGGGCAACCACAGAACCATCGTATTAGAACTATCTACAATATCTCTAAAAGCATTATTAACGGTTTTCTTCGTGACAAAACATTATCTTGAAAACTATTATTAATGACAAAGTTGATTTCCCAAAATAAAATGTTTTGCATTGATGTGAAAATAGGCATTCATTTAGTCTGTTGGATGATAATACGATATTTTGAATCCGCCAAACATAAATTATCATCAATCCTTATAGAATTGAAGTAAACCTATTCTACTTTCTAAAGTAATGAATATGGTTAATGTGAATTAAAGATTGGACTATATCGTGTACTAAGACTATTTGTTTGAATGAAAGAGAGAATAAGTTTCGCCCCACATGTCCCTCCATATCACCTGTATGTCATAGCAAGGTTGAACAAGCCGGAAACCATTACTGGAGGTCTATCAGCCATTAATGTACACAGCTCCACTAATTTATTTATATTTGTAAGTTACTTCGGTTTTTTGAATCGAAATTCGAACTTCGGTTTTAGTTTGTTATGAATAGCTACAGAATGGTGTCGCACATCAGGTGGGGAAATACTTACGCTTTCTAAAGAACCTATACAAACGTTCGCACAGCTAACAATTTATTTTATATGTACCTTAGACTTCCTCTGATAGGTACCCTGTCCAGAATTTCAATCCAGAAATTGGAATATCTGTTATTTCGATTCCGAAAATCAGCGATTGTTTAAGTTCTGTTAATCAAGAAGGACGTGTTTTAATAATTTAGTACTAGTAAGTATGAGGCTACTATGGTCATCGTATCCAGCCAGACTATGTGCAATGTTATATAAAGGCATAAACTACTCGTACAAATGCCAGAGAATTTATCATACATATGAAAGAGCTAGAAGATCGAGAATGGGGTCAAAATCGAGCCAATATTCTATATACGCAGTTCATTTTATGACTCAAATATGGGATGAAAACCGGGCAAAAAGTGTCTACTGATATTCTTTGCAAAACGACCCGTAAACTATTTTATATCGATTGGAAATCAGGAAGCATTACAGAATGGATTGTATCACAATGGCAATCTGAAATGTTGGCAACTGTTTTTATAACAGATTACTTTTATTTTAGATATTCTCGGTTTTTGCTGAAGGTTGTGCGTGATAATAATTAGGTCGCCTGTCCAACCTTATGGGTTTTCTACGAGTGCCCCTGTGCCCCCCACCCCCAACACTGCACCGGATGCATGTCCCTAAATAAACTAGTTTGTGTTGAGTGGACGTTTAACGCATCATGAAATTAACAGTCTGTGAGATAAAGATCGAGTAGAGAATTGGCCAATAGATTACTTGTTCATCCCTTAAATAATTTAGTTGACCAGTTTGCTCAGCACATACAAATTACAATTACTAGTATCTGATGGTTCTATTTATGTCTACGGCAATAACTTGTCCTAATGGTTAACCATTGTCTTCATACAATTAGAGTAAAATTGAGAGGTATCATAAACATATTCAAATGGAATTAAAAAGCAAACAAAAATGCGTACGGTCTCATATGGGCACATGGTCATCAAAAGACGGCAAATTCATTGCACAACTGATTTAACTAATGATTTAATTAACAAGCTTTCCAGGCTCAGCAATTAATGAAATAATACAGGATTTGTAAATGTATGAAAAAAAAACACCGTCTCAGCAGTCGCATGGTTGTTTAATAGAATAACGAGTAAAACAGCATTATAATCAGAATGAGGAATAAAAAGAGCTTTATCTAGAATAGGGGTTGTCCCAGTGTCATATATATATATGAAACAGTGATGATATGTAAACGGAGATAAAGTAAATTACCTTGCTTTTTAAATGGAGTACAAGAATATAATGGTTTAAATGCAGTGGGGCATATGTTAATCCCCATGGCAATACCTACGTTAAGCTCACGAAATGTTCCGGTTTGTCTGTAGTATTCTTTGTACACTATTCAAGGTTATTTTAATTTTTTTTTTTAAAAAAACAGGATTATTATTAGAGAACTAGAGTACAAATTAAAGTTATTAAGTTGGTTTTAAGTAGGTTTTCTTTTAAGAATAGTGATTGATTCCATTCGTCATGTTATATCAATTATGTGGGGCTTTTTATAAAAAAACCCAAAAAAAACGAACGAATGTCCATGATAATTGAGTGGCAAATTAGGGTAAAAACGAAGGCACTTACATCAGAAGAACCTAGTTAACTCAGGTACTTCAGTCAATAAAAATATTTTATCTTACCTCAACTGTATTATGTCGCCCATTATGGATTATTAGATTTTTTTTTTTGATTTTTTTTTACAAAAAAATGTTAATAAAAAAAAGTTCTAAATATCAAGTGGACGATTGATTTATGGTGGTTTGAATTTCCTTCTTTTTTGTAATATCTTTCCTAAATGAAATGAAATGAAATGGGTATAACGTCCTACTGTTCTGCTCCGCTGAGCTAATGAAGACGAGCATGCGCCATACAGTTTGCTATGAGGGAAATTTGCCCTGACAGCTGCGCTACGACCTTCTCTTATATCGAATTCCAACTACCAAAGGATCTTTTACGTGCATGTCAGGCCCTCCTTCCTACAACACTGACAAGTGTGAAACCACGCCGGAAAATACGATGAACTTTCTCGGCCAACACCGGAAGCGAGTCCGCGACCTCCAGGCTAGCGATCCAGTGTCTTACCCACTTAGGTACGGTGGCTCTGTCCTAAGTACCCCACATGAGATTAATTTAATGGACTTTAATGCCTTAATCTGTTGCACCGACGGGCCTAATGAAGACGGAAATACTCCATATGGTATGCTGTTAGGAAAATTTTGCCAGGATACCGGCGTTATGGCCTCTATTATGTCAAATTCCAACTGTCAGGGTTTCTTTTACGTGCACGCTTAAATGTACACCGCGGACGACGTTTTTTTTTGTCCCATCCGAACAATTTGAGATAAATAAAGTAAAAGCTGACTGTCTTGCTGTAACCAAATGTTTCACCTACTGTTAATTATGGTTTCAATATAATTTTAGGGTTAACGTATACTCCTTTAAAGAATAGTTATTGTTGAATCCAATTGCACTAAACGTGATCTGGTATTTGTACCAGACGAAAGATATTTCAATTAGAAACCTTTTTTTCCTGATAAGCAATACATTTTGTACCTAAATTATTGAGACTTAATAAGATCATTTACAAAGTTAAACGCATGCCCCTTTATAGAATTATTGCTGGATCTAAAAACACTAAAATAGATCTGGCATTGATACCAAACGAAATATATTTCAACTAGAAAGGTGTTTTTTCTGATAAGCAAAACCATTTGTACCTAAATGTTTGGGGATTATTAAGACCATTTCCAAAGTTAAGCGCATGCTCCTTTAAAGAATAGTTATTGATGAATCTAATAACACTAAACTTGATCTGGTATTGGTACTAGACGAAATATATGTTTCGTTCAAACTTCTTTTCTAATCAGCAATACGATGTGCGCCTAAATTATTGAGAATGATTAAATCCATTTACAAATACTGTCTTTTTTAAAATCCGAGATTGGAAAGTAGCTTCTTTAGATAAACTTAGATAATGAGTAAAAGATGTTGTTATTATTTATAAACATAAGTAATAAAGTACATACCTGTATATGTATATATAGTGTGGAAGACAGAAGACCAAATAAACAACGCTATCCTACTTCGACACTCAAACTAAACTTAATGACAAGCTCAAACTGGGTACCGCTTATTTCAATCGATAATTGATTGGTCATGTGATCATAACCATTGACCACGTGACAATACGTAGGTTTCGATCTGGCACAGCTGTGGACGATTCTCGCAACAGTGGAACTTGTCAGCATAAATTAAGCGAGTTGTTTCTGGCAATTATTGTCTTCTACGTGTCTATCTGGCATCATCCAACAGTCATTTAACTAATGAATACAAGATGTGTGAATGCTTGTTGCTCAAGACAGCAATTTCTCTTCTTCAAAGGAGGGTTATTATTTGTAATCATTATCTTCTTTCAATAAATCTACTTATGCACTTTTAGCTTTTTTGGAGTGAAAGATAATTTATAGACTGTAGTTGATGAATGGTATCATTACTAGTAGAAAATGTTTCCTTATTGTGAGGACATCATAATATCTGTAAGTTTCCAATGGGAAATATTTAGATGTTATGAATACTACAAAAGAATAATAAAACCATGACAGTTTCAATCATGGTATAAGTCTGCTAGCGAATATAATATGGATCTTAATAGGCTCAACCTTAATATCGAGAAATAGTTGGAAATATTTTCATTGAGGAAGTTTCTTATTTGAGGTGAAGCGTTTTGGGTTTTTTTTTTGGGGGGGGGGGGTATTTTTATTTTTGGAACAGGAACTTGGTCCCAAGCGCTACTATCTCGTTCTTCTTTCTTGAGGGCGACCCTCTTTGAAAAAGTACGATCGACAATGGAACTTGGCATAATATGCTTGTTCAATGAGCAATTGCGCATCAATCGACGGACTTCGATTTTTGATATGACGTTACAATCGAAGATGGCTGTGGATGATAACGTCATACTCGGTTCCTGGTCCACAGTACGCTCGTAGGTTGTATCTGAAATTGCAGGGGCTAATTTGCGAGATTAATGTAAGAGTGCGCCTTTTAACGAATGACCGAACAAGAAACAGACTTGTAAATATTGTCATCTCTAAAATATCTTCAATTGTTTTGGAAAAAATGTTTATTTGCTCACGTCTCTTGGATACTTTTCCCATGTAACTAATAAACCATAAAACTAATCCATTCTCGAAATTGGTTATTTAAGATAATTGAATGGCACTCTTGGCTTGGGATTATAAGAACAGAATGCGAAGATTTAAAAAAAAATGTTGATAGAAAGAATTTTAGATTTTAGATTTAAATGTTCAATAATATGGTATGAATTTATCCTTCAAAGTGTAATTAAGGGATTTAAAAAAAAGAGGAATCTAAAAATAACAAAAGGAATCCGCTTTATATGAATTTCTAGGTGGATACGTGGATCATGCTATCGCACAATAGCTGAAGAAGGATTCGTGGTGCGCCTCTATCCTTTCTGGAACACCCCGAGATCATCATTCCTAGATGATATCATTTTGAATGGTTAATAGTGTCTCTTTGTTGTTGTCATCCTCGTTCAACCAGCATGTTTGTTACACACTAGCTGTTAGAAAAAAAGCTTGGCTGTGTATGTTCACACTTTCTGGAACAGTTGATAGCACTTCTCATTTCCATTACACTTTCGTAAACATTTCACCCTGCAGATTGTTTCATCTACATATAGTATACAATACATTTTTCCAATATTTTGCAAAATAGCAATGGAATTTTCTCATTCACCTATTGCGAAATCCCAGTTTTATGAAATCAATGTGAAAAGGTTCAATTAAAATACCGCCCATTTGAAATAAGTACATGTAATGAAATCGTGATGATAGATTATATTTAATAGATACGAAAATACCATTGTCGTAAAAAATATTATTCTATAAAACCCTTCCGGCATTATAGTACATTAAATAGCTTCATTCACGAATTTATTACATATTTTTTAAAGCAATTAATGCGTATTATATTCTAAACGGCGAGTCCATCCTACTTGATATTTATTTTCCTAGAATAAAATGAAATACGCATTTAGCATTATGGCCAAATACAACTCCTACTGAATTTAAATGAGCAAAATGATAATGCTGTGATATTAATTTGTACTTAGTGTAATTCATGTGTTAGAGATGAGGCCGGGGATAAATGTACACATGTTATAAACCTGGTGAGTTGTTAAGAATCATTAGTTATGATATAATTATAATAGCTAGTATACAATGCTGGACCTTATGTTATTAATTAGCTCGACTAATGGAAGTGACTATTAAATAAACATTTGTAGTAAAAGCATGCTGAACTCCCCCCGTCGTTTTTATTTATGTCTACACGATATATGTACAGTATCAATATATACCTGTCTTTCTTGGATCCTAATTTCCTATTATATATAATACGGTCCGAATATTCACATAGATGTTGGAAATAAATGTTTCAGCAAAAGGGGTTAATCCCGTGACATGGGGCGGTTCTTTTGAAGGCTGGGGACATTTTCATCCATAGCCCCGGCGTTCCGGCGTTCCGGCGTTCCGGCGCACCTGCCCGTGACCATCCTCTCAAAAAATGTTCCATCTCAGGAGTCGTTTTATAATTATTCACGGTTACGTTCCTTCTATTTGGAACAGTTCTCCTTTACAGACAATAAAACAAGTACATTTTCTAACAATGTTAGTTATGAGTAATTATCCTATTACCAACAATAATAGCTAACAAAAAGGTTGAACTAAAATTACACATGGTATTGAGAACACTTATTCATAAAGCTTATTCATACACTAGCAATTGTGTCAAAAAAATTAATATTTACGGAAAGGCATCGGGACCAGATTACTTTTAGGCAAGTAACCTTGAATGTAGAAAACCAAAACATTGACCAGGGAATACGCCCTGCATAAAGGGTATCTGAAACCAAACTACGCTTTAATAATATATCGAATTTTCCGATAGTATCCAAAAATTTTGTATAGAAAAGTTTTAAGACAAATTTTTCACTATAAGCTTGTGACCAAAATCAGTGTAATCGGTACCAAAAATGAATAGCCACGGTATATTCTTTATTTAACTCAGAAAAAAAACTATCTCTTGTTTCCCGCATTTTTCACTATAAGCTTGTGACCAAAATCAGTATAATCGCTACAAAAAATGAATAGCCACGTTATATTCTTTATTTAACTCAGAAAAAAAAACTATCTCTTGTTTCCCGCAATTTTTTTCCCAATGATCTTTTCTAATTGTGGAGTCTCGGTTTACTCTTATTTCAAATTTCAAATGTCCAAGGTTCTTTTACCCACACGCCAACGTGTACATGAGATGTCGGATTTTTCTCGTACCATCCGAAAGAGTAGACGCGGTATCTTTCCAGGCACCCCGTCATGCACCACTGACAAACACTTGGATTAAACCAGGCCCTCTTGCTGAGCAAGCCAGGGCCCTACCCACTGAGCCACCGTGGCCCCCTGGTGGCTTGCAACAATCCAGGTTGCAATAATGGATGGATTCAGTTATGCCGTCATTACCATACATGGAATTTCAGAATAAATAAAAAGCGCATATAATAGATAATACATAATTATTGTTATGAAGCTTAAATATCACAACCTTTAGATGTGTAATTAACAAAATATGTCTACTAATTATGTAATGAATGTAATTAATAAAAGATTACTATATGACATTTTGATTGATGTGTAGTAAAATAATTGGATCAGTTCAGTTGAACTTCATTTATAGTGTTATGGGTTTAAAGATAAATTTAAAAAGATATATTTCTGTGGTTGATTAACGATTTCATTTTCATTTTCAAGAATGATGCCGGCGATGATGGCATTGTTTCAGATCTTGTATAGCTTTGGCATTTGATATCCAAGCCAAATCTATCGCAGCAAGTACGCAACCTGGAATGTTTACCGTATTTTATTTGTTGAGTTCACATAGCTAATTATTCTGAAGCTTTTTATACAGTCATATTAGAGTAATTATTAGTAATTATAGTGTATTCATTAATATCAAGCATTTAAAAAAAAAATCATCTATACATGTATGTTAATAGTGTGGGCAGAAAGGCTCTAGGGAAGAATTTTTACATCACCTATTACTGTGATATATAATGGTTTCACAGAAGATTTTTCAGTCTGCCATCATTTGTCATTTAGACTAGACTAAAAATATTTAGTTTGATAATGCAAACATCGAAGATTTGAGGATACGAAAAACAACGTGACGTGATTAAGAGGAGCTTTTATATGAGTAAAAAAATAAAATCAACTTGGTTACATCGTTTACTGATAATGATGGTAAATTCTATAGATTTTGCAAATCAATGACAGCCCCGTGTGTTCCCATGGTGTTCCAAGTCTTTGAAACTGAGATAAAACATTAAACAATCTTCTAAATATAAATATCGCATGAAAATAATTACGAAATGCAACAATATTATGCCAATACTTATTTTACTAATTTACGACATACAAAAGAACTACGGGCTTCGTGAAAAGTTATTGTTGAGAGGTCGGCAGACGATTACACCAAATTAAGACAATGATCGTTGGTGCCAATGTCGCACTTTTTGTTTAACAGGGTATGTATAATTAATAACTATAATTCGACAAATACATTTTTTGTTTTCCCGTTCTTGTGTGTTTTTTTAAAACAACATTAAACGAATTGGTTCCATACTAACTTCTATAATACGAAAACGGCGACACAATATTTGATCAATAGCTATAATAAACCAGACATCTATTTCCTGTGGGCTTGTCTGGAATGTGTGTTACTTGGATTATGTAAGCAGGGGTGGTTAAAACATCATTTAGAAAATCGGGTTAAGCAGTCTCTTCCACCCACACATACCCGCCCAATTAAAATTTCAATGGATGTGGATGTTAGGGAAACCAGACTGGATAATCCCGAGGAACTTTCCCAGTCAACACCGGAATCACCCAGAACAACATGGCCAGTCAGCCAGTGTCATACTAACCGACGCTATATAAATCCATATAATATAACCTTTTTGCATTATTGTACTTTACTCCATTCTTTGAGCATATAATTAAAATATTGTATTTCGTGGGTCGTAAAGTCATGTCTTGGCGAATAGCAAACATATTGTTTTCGAAGTCCCGCGGCTTTCAGTA